TCAGCCATATTTGGAAAAAAGCTTGGTTACGATTCGTTAATTTTTATCAGTTTTGTACGCCTTAGAATATGGTGGCAAATAAAGCGCATTATAGGCATTTAATGCTTTTCTTTTTCCGAAAGGGCAAAAATGCCACACAAGCGGCAAATAAGATATGCGCTGTTTATGGCGAGGATGCTGTAGCCGAAAGAACTGTGCGGAAGTGGTTTGCTCGGTTTAAAGCTGGAAATTTCGACCTTGAAGATCAAGAACGCCCAGGTAGGCCGTCCACCACAGAAATCGAGAATAACCCACGCTCAACATTACGTCAATTAGCAGGAATGCTAAATAAATCAAAATCAACCATCCACGGTCATACTGTGAAGCTTGGCTCCAATATTTAAATGAGCTGCGTTTTAATTTTCCTACAAAATCGGCACGAACTTTCCGGACAACCCAATAATATTGCGGCGACAATGACAGAGCGGATGACGACGATGTACGCGGCGAACCTAAAGAGAAAGAGAGAGAGAGAGAGAGGCGCTCGCGCTCCTGGGATTTAACAAAAGCTACCGCGCGCGAACATAAATCCGTGCAACACCGAGGGGGGCTAATTGCGAGCGCCGTCGACGATTCTCACCGGTAGAGAGATCGAGGAAAAGAATGTCCTCTTTGTCGATGGAGGACGCGTAGATGTCGTAGCCGTGGGTGGTCTGCGAAGGATAGAGGGCGATGTCGCTGATGTTCAACGTCGTTTTCACGTCGAACGCGAACTTCAATCCGGCAGCTGCGGAAGAATACGGCGATATTAGAAGGTTGACGCGAGTTCGTGTCGCGGGGGAATAGGTATCGTCGAGAAATTACGCGATATCTCTTGCACGACGAGCGTCACGCCCGAGCTCTGTTTGTCCAAGGTGACGAGATGTCTGGAATCGGGGGAGATCGTCGGTCTTCCCACGAGATTCGACTTGTAGGCTAGAACCGTGTCGGTGAGGTAGTCCAGCAGGAGCTGACCGGTCGGTCGATCGGTGATCGGCTCCTGGCATTCGATCACGACGAAACCATCTGGAGAACGGCAGAAATCTCGTCAGGAGAACTCGGCACGGGTTTGCGACAATCGGCGGCTCGCGCGTCACACGGATTCGAGCGTGTACTCACAGAGAATCGAGAATTGGACGTTCACCGGGACGCAATTGTACGAGCTGAGGTCCGCGCTGCGCGTGTACTTCATGTTCTTCAGATCCAGCTTGTACATGCTCCGCTGGTTCGCGTGGCTCACGTAACCGTACTTGAACGTGTCCTCGATGTCCTGAAAGAACGGAACTATTTATTAACCCTTTGCACTCCGCTGTCCCCTCTCGTGGGACATCGTAATTCTAGCATATCACTCGGATGTCCCCTCTCGTGGGACATTAAAGTTTATTAGCGATTACGGGGAATTGAGTTATTTCAGCGCAACTTTTTGAGACACGCATGTTCCCCTGAAGTTTTCTCTTGAAACGGCATAAGAAATCAAATCAAAATATAGTAAAATTACCAAGATATATACAAGAAATGTCAGCGGGTTTGTAATGTCACGACGGCCCGAGCACTTCGAAGGCGCCACTTGAAAAGAGCGATAAGGCAAGTTTGTAGAAGAAAGGTCGGTATGCGAACATAGCACGCACTGTATAGTGAGATTTA